GAAAAAAGTTAAAGGGTGTGACACATGTTATATTACAAAACCTTGAATATTTTAGGTTTCGGAATTTCCTAGGTTACAAAATATCCTTAAACTGAAATTTTGTTTTAAATTGTGATTTGTATTATTAATGTTGAACCCTAAATGTCTTTATGAAGTTACATAATTCGAGACAAAATAAAAAATAAACAAAGTTTATATGTAGGAATATTTCACAGTTCATCATGCTTTTTTTTTTGAACTGCGGCCATCTTATGATATTGTCAAAAAGATAGGATAATGACTTGTAAGGTAATGAACTTCGTTATGTATATACATTTGGTTCACTTAAGTTTTTTTTGTATATGTCTTACCGTTGATATTGCCAAAAAGTGGTCATTAATTGGTTTGGAACCGAAAAAAACCGAAACTGAATTCAAATTAAACCAAATTTCAAAATTGATTTTTGGTTTGGTTTTATACCAAACCGAATTACGAATTCATGGTTTGAGTTATGGACTTGTGGTCTAGTAGAGTTTGAACCAACTGAATTACCAAATTTACTTAATTGAATTCTTATTAATTAAATATTATATTTTTTTATACTTTAAAATTTAAATAAAAAAATAAAAATATATTTTACTATTTCATATTTTACTAACACATCAACTTTCCAATTCCAAAATCACAAAAGTTTATTTCTTTAACATATTCTTCATGTCATATGTTATGTTTCGTTCAGAACTTCATATTTGATAATTGAAGCTTTATATTTTTTTATTTGAAACTTTTGGATTCGATGTTTGGAAAATTTAATCTTATGAATTTTATTTTTAACCTAAAAAATTCGTTTCCTTGGTTTTCAAACCGAACCAAACTTCTTTTTTTGTTTTATTACACCATCGACTTCATCTTTTATTGAGATAACCTATTCCCCACACCCCATGTCACCGGTTATACCCATATAGTCAATGTTATAATGAACCAAAAAATGGTCAATTGGATACAATTAGAAGTTTACTGACTTTAAAGAGCAAATAGATTGTTATTAATTGTCATTTTATGATATTTTTCATTTATTGAGACAATTCTTTTAGCAAGACGCTAAAACAAGGAATTACAAGAAACAGTTTAGCAAATGAGAACAACACCATTGCTGCCAATCTAAGTTTTCAAAATTAGATATATTCTTAATCCAATTAAAAGTGAAGCTTTGAATGTCATCCGCCATCTTTAAGGGGCTCAATCCAACTTTCTTGAAAATGAGCCAGTTTCTAACCTTCCATATAAGCCATAGAGCCGTGTAGACCAACGAAAGCCTAAGGAGGGAACACCTTTTGTTACGATGAGGAGAGTTGAGCAGCAAGAAAAGATCACTTACATTGAACGAACTATGGGGAAAGATAAATGACCAGAAACCAACCAATTCCAAATAACTTTAGCAAAGTTACATTCAAAGAAAACGTGATCGACATAGTCAATATCCATGTTGCAGAAACAACATAAAGCAACATGCACTCCCCTCCTAATAAGATTCGAAGAAAGCGGAATCTTGTACTTAAGCAACCACTAAACAAAACAGTTAACTTTTAGCGGGATCTACCGGACTCAAGCAAAACTTGAATCAGTAACACACAAATCAATGTCAGCCACCAAACTCCTCAAGAAATTGCCCTTTTTTTATCCCCAATCCATTGCTACCTGTCCTTGCTTTTATTTAACGAGCATTTATTTAAGGAGACAGACATAAAAATATTACATCTTTAACATATAAGAAAAAAGAATACTAGCTTGAAACTAACATAAGATTCAAAAAGAAACTAACAACCATATGCACACATATACACAACATTTAAACTCATAACCTTTAGATTATCATGATAAAGTTTTACTCAGTTGAATATGTTTTTAATAAACGTTGATATTGTGGGATCGAAGTTTTTGATTCACTTAACTTAGGTGATATTAAAGGCTTTAGTAAAAAAAAAATTACTTGCATGGTACAAGTTAGTGACACAAATAGATTGTAAGGGGAGAAATATGGCAACAATGGGAATTTTTTTAGCACATTTATAGTATAAAAGCTTACAAACACTCCTTTATATGTCTTTTTTAATATATCATTAACTTTGATACCCACAATATGGATACCTCGTTTAATATGAAATTTGTACATATATGTCTAAAACCATGATTTCTCCCCAAGTGTATCACTAACTTCAATACCCATTATACCGAAATTTATTAAAAGGTTGAGTTTATATGTTTCGTATATATGTTTGTTAATTTCTTTTTGAATATTATGTTAGTTACAAACTAGAAAAAAAAAAAAATATATATATATATATATATATATAATATATATATATATATATATATATATATATATATATATGATAAAGATGTGATCTTTTTACGACCATATATTTATTTAAATGGTAAATAGTATAAAATAACAACCGGTAACACTTTATGTATTATTAAGTCATTGAATTTCTTCTAATTGTATCCAGTTGCCAACAATTTTTTTTTATTATAACATTGACTATATGGACATAATCGGCAGCATCAAGTCCACGTAAACAGGGACAGTAAAAGACGAAGTCGGTATAATAAAGCCAAAAAAATTGTTGGTCAATTACACCATAAATTTATGTATTAAATATTGGGTTAAATGTCCATGTTTACTTTTGTGTCTTTTTATGTCAATTTATGCAAGACTTCTTAACGATTTATACAACCACCAAATATTCAATTTGTTACAAAAGTTTTTTTCCGTTTTATATGCTTAAATTGCTCTGTTAATTTTTGGAAACGCGGTCGCATAGTTTGCATGAAAAAACCTATTAGTAAAGAAGTGAAGCATGATTCCATAAATAATTCAATATGCATCCAACCCTAAAATAGTAAAATAAATATATTTATATTGTGTTGGCTTTCTTTGGGTTTATCTCCAACTCAAGAACACAAAAACGAATTAAAGTTACGATAGGTTATGATGAAGACAAGGGGTAGTTTTGTCATTTAAGAAGATATTCATAAAGGCTTCCTTTTCCTTTTTCCTTTTTCTTTCTCTCTCCAAATGTTAAGAAGGAAAGTTTTGAACATTATGTTTGTAAAGTGTAGAAGAGAAGACATGAGAGGATTGGATGTGTTTATGCTTATGATGTTTAGCTAGTTCTAGACAACGGTGCAAATGCAATGCGCCTGTCATGGCCCAATGATCCCATCCCTGTCCCCGACACTCTTTTTGGCCAAACAGAGTTTAGTCTTCTAGCAAAATCCTCTACTTCCCTACAACACATAACCAACAAAAAAAAAATGACTCACTTATGCTTTATATTTCATATCTTAAAAAATATTTTTTTTTTTAAAAAAAAAGGGAGGGGGGGGAGAAACAAACCTGTCAAGTTGTTCCTTCATTGCAGGATCCAACTCATCATCAAAATCAAAGTCGGAAGAATGCATAATAGCCGTAGGAGAATCAGATTCTAGCAGCTTTGAAATTTTACTTGGACTAGACGCAGACGAACACAAACTATCTGTTTCCTAAATCATCATTTATTTTTAAAAGAAAAAATTAATTAACAAAATAAAAAACCGATTATTTAGGACAGATAAGCAACCAACCTTTTTATGATTCCCATTCTCAATGATGTGAAGGCCCTTGGGATGATCCTTTCTCCTACGGTTTTTCTTTTTGTTCTTGGGAGCACCAGAAGCAGATGTTTTAACACCTTTGGAATCTGAAAAGGGTATATATGTAATTTTACTTGTAAGGTGATATCATATCATATCAGATTAATGAAATACCTTTTTCATCTCCGCTGTTTATGAATAACAAGAGATCATCAACAGAGCGATCATCAACACGCTCACGCTCATGCTCCTCTTCAACTTCAACATTTTCAAGCATACACTACGAGTTACATAGTTGACTAGGTCAACACCCAAACATGACATACTAAATTACTAATTGTTACAACATGTAGATGATAACAGAGAAATTATGAGCTGCTTACCTTTGCTTTTTCTCTGATTTTTAATTCTTTTCTCTTTCTTGCATATAACCTATTTAAGAGACGGATCCGTGGATCGTTGGTCCTGATTCTCAAAGGTTCCAACTTCTCTTCCTGCAATAAAGGAATAAATAAAATAAAGCATTCCAATAATAAATAAATAATTTGTGTTACCTCTGTAAGATCATCAGGAAGATGAAAAGTGTGACGTATTTCTTCAGGAGTTTTGCCTTCTATCATGCGGGCAAGTGCACGGCTTGTGAGGTCAACCAGTGGTCTTAGCTGGAGACTATCCGCGCCAGATGTCAATTCGCATAACTTTTTTGTATCCAACCGTATCAACTTTTCATCAAAACTTTTCCTCTCCTATACAAAAAAATGTAACTACCTTTTGAAATGAAAAATGAAAAATGAAAATGAAGAGGTTGACTAGACCTTATTAGATCTCCCTTGCACTTGATGAAAGCGACAATAGTCAAGTATTAAGCCCAAGACAGGTGTAGTGACTCGTTGAGGAAGTTTTATAGCATAGTTTTTAGAGGACCCCATGCCTGTTTGAAGGACTTCTCTGCATATCATTGGACAAAACATTGCAACTTCTTCCTCCACTTGTTGAGTTGAACCATCGGGAGTTTCTAGCCAGATGAAAGACTTCATCTTCATTCATAAACCACCAAAAAAAAAAAATAGAATCATAACAAATATTTAAAGAAATAATGAGTTCATGTTACTGTAAGAAACTACTACAGTAAGTATACCTCTGGTTTGACAATAGCCATGTGCCTTATGAAACTCAAGTTCCCAAATCGCCCTGTGCCTTTGATTTCAATATGGAAGTAATGGGAGAACAAAGGGAATTGAAACTCTTACTGATGCATTCCACATTAGCAAATTACCAGATTCAGATAACAATACTACAAGCATTTTTTTTATGAAGAGGGCTTCATCAGACCTAGTTGCCCTGATCAAACTTGAAGCCAACAACAAAGGAAAGCCTAGAAACTGTTACGACTTTATACCTGAAAAAATGTAACAAGTGATCTCCATATAAACTATCCACACATTTCAGAAGCTACTCATCATACAAGAATACAAAGTTTTAGGGGTTTTTGAATGTGTGGTTTCAAAGTGATTATTGTGACTTGAAGAAGCAGATTAGCAGATAACTACTGATTACAGTTAGAATAGTAGGTAATTTGACATTTATCTCTGTAGTCGTTTTATTTATGACTACTCTTACTTCTCCAAATCTTGTTATTTTAACCTAAGATAGCAGAGATTCGTAATTATGATCAATTTTTGCTAAAATCTAAAAATTGATTAACTTTAGTAGCTTTAGTAGCACATTCAAAAACTCTCTTAGCATATAATCAAGCTTCTCCACAAATTCTAAGTCAATTTCAGAATTCATCTTCTCGCATAAATCAAAGGTATCATTTCGGAAAAGAAAGAAAAACCCTAAAAAGGAAAAAAGTGCTTTTCTTTGTGGCAAATGTATGCTTTGGTGTGATATGTGACTGTGTTGCATGGACGTATAAATACCTACAAGCAAGGAAGCACATACAGAAAATGGCGAATGTGTACGTATACGTGTACGTATTTATATAGATACGGCCACAATATTACAAGTTTGATTGTGCAGGTGACTGTGAAATGACTCCGATCAACTATTAATCATGAAACTCTCTTCACACAAAGAAATTGCACAATGTGAACCGATTAAGCCCTAAACAAGTAAACCGAAATTAATTTTTAAACCAGATAATCGAAGGCTGTCCAAAAATAAGCTACGACAATAAAATTCGACCTTTACATACCTTCAAAGATGAATTCTCGGGTTAACCTCGAGACGATGGGAAGATTAGGGCAAATTTTTTACTATGTGGAATAGGTAAATCGTTTGAAGTGAAAATGGAGGTCGAAATCTGCAGCTAGGGTTTTTCTTTCGTTCTTTCTTTTTCTTCTTATTTTGGTTGGAAATGATGGTTTTAACGTGTTGTGCACGTGTCGATCAAGGTTTACAGGGAGTGGAGGACTGGCGGCTGGTGAGAATTTGGTAGAGGCTGTTTTTTGGACTTGGAAAAAGTACGGGGTTAAATGTCAAATGTTATTGATTTTTTTATTATTTTTTAGTTTTAATATTATTTTTTCCAAAAATATCAAATTTATTGACTTTTTTGAATGCTGCTCGTCTCATTGGGCTTAGATAGAATCGTATCGGCAGCACCACGGCATTAGTGACGTGGACTCATCAAATATTGGTATGGGAACTTGGCATGTCGAGCTCGGAGTCCAAACTCGACAATGAGAGGCTGGGTCTCTTTCTTCTTCCTTCCGTCTTCCCCAACTCGGTAGCCCACGCTCTCTCTCTCTCTCTTCTTCTTTCCTTCTTCCCCTTTTCTTTCTTGTTGGAGCTGAGGTGGAGTTCGGTTTGGTCAGCACCACTCTCATCAGCCTTAGGTTAGGGGTAGGTGACTAGTACATCTTGTGTTTTCGTATATGTGTTAGCAACAATGGAACAATGAAAAAGTACATGGTATAACATACGTTATTTTTGGGCATCTCGTTGGAAAATTTAAACATCATAGAATTTTCCAAAAAAAATTACCTTATGTCGGAAAATTTAATGAGTAGCATTGACTATCCCTGAAACCCCCTTGATTCATCCCCTACGTGTAAGACATGAATTTACACGACATGAATTGCAAAACATGTTTTGGTATCAAACATTAACACAACACGTAATTAATCTGTGTGATATATGACACGACATAAATAGACATATTTTTAACCATATTACACAAAAAGCATTGATTTACACGAATTTATACATGTATTGTCTAATACCATTTTTTAAGCTATGAAAACATGCATTTAATTCGTGAGTATATATATATATATATATATATATATATATATATATATATATATATATATATATATATGTGTGTGTGTGTGTGTGTGTGTGTGTCGCATGTCTATACGTGTTTATACGTGTCGCGTGTGACACAAATTTAATTCAGTCTTATACTTGTTTAAACAAGTAGATTCATGTTTGACACGTGTAAAACAAGAAACACAAATTTAGAATTTGTGTCGACACTAGTATACACGAAACACAATTTTCTAAAACTCATATACGGAAAACTCGTGTCGTGTATTAAATTGGAGGGTTTGGTGTCAAGCCTTCGAAGTTCCACCCCAATTTCTTCCTTGCCCAAGATTTGTCAAATGACATGTAAGTGTTGAAGAGAGATAAACAACATATACCAACTGTCTTCTTCCAGCTCCACTTCAATTTCTTCTTGCTCACATCATCCTCCACGTCACTTTTGCCATGATCTTGCCTCTTCTACTCCCACCAGTCTTATGATTTTGAGTTTACAATGTTGAGTTTGTATCGGGCACTAATGAATCATGGTGGAATGGCAAGAAAAATAATTGTATTGTTTGTTTTTTTATTTAGACATTAACTTATTTAAGATCGACCATAATTTTATCAACTTTACTTTATTTTGATATTTTTTTAATATTTTATAGTTTTTTTCCGGATTAAACATCAACTTTATTTTTTTTCTAGAAAAAAAAACATGTATTTTTCATTTTTTTTAAAACTCTCGCATTTTCAATTTTTTCTGAAAAAAATCCTAATATATTATTTTTACCAAAACAACTCTCACATTTGATAAGTTTTTTCAAAAAAAAAAAATAATGTCATATGAAAAAATAGAAGAATACAATGCTTTTTAACGAGAACAAATAAAATTGAGGTTTAATTCGTAAAAAACAATATATAAAGTCTTTTGTGATACTAACTCATACTTATGTTATTTTTATAAAATATTCTTTTTATTTGTATCTTTATTTTATATACTTCTTACTTCCTTATAAGTAAGAAGTATAGAGTATGCAAAGTAAGATGACGTATTGGTAGTAGATGTATGTGATATGTGACAGTTTATTTGTGAATAACTGTTAGAGAAAGATTAAACATTTTGTGTAATAAAGGACAGCTAGAGAAATATTATGAAGTTAAATAGAGAAGTGGGAAGGTGGTGGACTTATGTGAAGAGTCTATGTGACACACATTTCCCGATTCCCGGTAGGTAATTTATTTTAACGTTTAAGAATAATAATAACAATGATATTAATAAGAATTATAATATTAATTGGATATATATATATATATATATATATATATATATATATATATATATATATATATATAAGTCCAAGGTTGAAACAATAATTTTTTGGAAATCAAATTCGTAAGACAATTATGTAACACCGTAAATTTTCAATTAAATTTTTCATTTTAAAATCACATAATTCTCATAACATATTTCACAAAAATCTCAAGTATCTAATTATCAAAACACAACTCCATAAATGTTTGATTAAAAATCCAGGATCCTCAAAACATAACTATTTCACTCGTGTGTAAAATCAAGCTGGCGCCTTCCCGCGATCCTGAAAAGTACCTGAAACACATATCACACAACACGGTAACACGAAGCTTAGTGAGTTCCTCAAAATACCACATACACAAATAGTAAGCCTCTCATGGATATAGCTCGGCATGGACCCTCCGGTCATGCGTCTCGGTGAGGACCCTCCGACCATGCGTCTCGGTGAGGACCCTCTGGTCTCACGGCTCAGTGTGGACCCTCCGGTCTTCACAGCTCGGGTCGGACCCTCCAGTCCTGTATCTCAGTGAGGACCCTTCGGTCTCACAACTCGGTTTGGACCCTCCAGTCCTACTCAGTATGGCACAGAATAATATAGCATATATCACAAAGACAAGATGCACAATATCACATAACTCAATATAAACACATGGGACCCTCCGGTCAATAACTCAAATAAGACCCTCCGGTCACACAGTATTACCACTCAGGTAAGTATAGTGAGAAGACTCGCCTCGAAGCACGCAAGCAAATACACCTCGTGCACGAATCACCGATCTAGCCTCCGCCTATCACATATGATAATTATCTCTAGTTAAAATCACAACTCTAAATAAACTCATACTAGCCCCTCTCTAACTCTTGAGAAGGGTAAAAGACCATTCTACCCCTCCATGGTCTCCATTACTCACATTTGGTCAAAACCCTAAAAGTCCACAGAAGTCAAACTCGAGTCAACAGTCCATGTTGACCCAACTCGTCGAGTGCATCAAAGCAACTCGTCGAGTCCCCTCGTTTCCTCAGAAGCCTCATGAAAACCAACTCAACTCGTCGAGTTGACCCGTCAACTCGCCGAGTTACAGCATGCTCAGACTTATCGGGATAAACCCTAACCGACTCATCGAGTCGGCTCATCGACTCGTCGAGTCCCTTAAGTCAAAATTCTCATTCAGACGTTTTAAGGCAGAAATGCTACTCCATACTCTGGATCTGACCTCCTAAAGCTCGAATATCATGTAAAGCTTTCAGCTTTACGTCCATGCATGGCATATTGGCTCAATAATGCCAATACAAGCTATTACAAGGGTTTGGTGCTCAAAAGTTTGCCTCTAGCTCCATAAAGCTTGGGTCTTTGGGCTCACAAGACCTCCTACAGTCCAGATCTGAGGTTTCAACCTCAAGATATGCTCAAGGGACTCAATAACACAAGGTGGATGGGAGAAAACCCTAAAAGCTCCCCCAAACCAAGATCTACACAAAGAATGATCAAGTTAGCATCTTTTACCTCCAACAGAAGCTACCCACTGAAGAATCTCTGGATCCAAACGTTCCTCCTTGGTCCAAGCCAAGATGCTCTCCAAATCTTCTTCCAAAGTTGCACAAGAACACCCAAAATAGTCTCTTTCTCTCTCACAATAGATGGAATCGATCTAGGGTTTCTTACAGGGCTCTCTGGAGATAAGGGAGGAGGAAATGAGGGCTTAAGGGCCTTTAAATAGGATGCAAGCCCTAAAATTAGGGTTTTCTCAATACAGACTCAACTCGTCGAGTCCATCCCCCGCTCACTTGTATCACTTCATGGAATTTATCTCGAGTGATCGTGAGACGGTAATATCATATAAGTCTTCAAACCTAGAGATATGATTTGTTGCCTATGAGTTGGTTATGCATTGATTGCACGAAAACGCATTGGTAACTTGATGTTATAAACCGTGATTTTGTGTGTAATTCAACAAGTAGTAGAGCAAACATATGAGTCGAAGTTTATCTGTTCCTTCTTGGATTAGAAGCGATATTTGGGCCCCTCGATGATTTTGTTTTGACCTATGTACCGGGCCCGGTCAGAACTAAATTGATGTGTTCAGTTAAGTTCTATGTCAAACAAATCGGAAATCGGGAAACAAATGCTGGACAATAAGCAAGACCTTGTTCCATGTATTTGTCCGGCTGATATCTAGAACAGAGGATTGTATGATCACTTATCTAAAATGGCGCTTCATAGTTCAACAGAGTTTAAAGAGCTACGATTGTTGATCGGTTCCTGAAGTCATACTTGCAACTATAGTTATTAGACTTATCCAAGTGGGAGACTGTTGGATATAGTGTCTAAGTCCATAACTATATTTGGTATGTACTTGACCCGACCCGGCATGGTCCATTTGGGTTGCACTTCACCCGAACAATTTAAGGATAATCTTTTGAGAATAGTATAAGTTATGATTTATTAATATATTATAAGTTCTAATATATTAATATAAAATCATATTATTTAATTAGTATTGATCTATAATTAATCTAGGATTAATTTAGAGATCAAAAGTATGACTAATTAAATATGGGCTCTTGTATTTATATAGTGTGGGCTAATGCTTATTTGGAATGGGCTAGGCTTGCATGGAAAGTCCATGGATACTCCATGGAGCTTTAACCCATGGATCTCATGGAAATGAAAAGACATGGGTATTAGGGTTTACATGGATGTAACCCTAATCCACCACACTATATAAAGGAGGCTTTGGTTCTTGAAATCACACTAGTTGTGGTGAGTAAAGTAAGAGGGCCGATTTCAAGAAAGGTGATTACTATTCTCTCAAAATTCCAAGTTTGTGGTGATTTGTGATTTCCATTTGAGGCATCCACACTATTGGTGCTAGGCTCTAAAACTCCAAGCAATCAACTACAACTACAATGTAAGTAATTCTACTAGCTTTATTTGATTCAAGTTCCCCATGCCATGCTAGATAGGATAAGAACCTTGGAAAAATAATTATTTGCATGTATCTTAGTCAAACATAGATCCAAGATTTCTAGGGTTGCATGTACACCATAGGAGTGTTAGAATGCTCAAAACCCATCAAGATCGACGTTGCGGAGGAAGGTCGGGAAAGAAGGAGAACAATTCGGAGGGAAGGAAGTTGTCATCGTCATTTTGGTCGTCGATCGAAACTCTCACTGGAATCTTTAGCAGAGAGAAAGAGGTAGAGAGAGCAGTTGGTGGGTTTTGTCCTTTTGACCTCGTTTCCTTGGCAATGTGTTCTTCCAGCG